CTGGAGGAGTTTTACTCAAAGCAAACTGTCAAGGGGGTCCCATAACCCCAACCGTGTAAGGAATGCAAAATCAAGGAACATAACACCGATATGACGGAAACTAGGGCGGCAAGAGTGGAACAAAATACCAGGCAAAAGGCCGAGCCTTCCACCCTTTACCAAGTATATAGATGCATTAATTAAAATAAGAAATATTGTGATATCCCAACATATACATGTTCCCACATGGAACAAAACTTCAACTTCATCTACAACTAGCAATGCAATAAAAGGGTTGAGCAAAAACGGTAACATAGCCAAACAACGGTTTGCTAGGAAGGTGGGCTAGAGGCTTGACATGGCAATATGGGAGGCATCATAAACAAGTGGTAGGTAGCGCGACATAGCGATAGAACGAACAACTAGCAAGCAAAGATAGAAGTGATATCGAGGATAATGGTCATCTTGCCTGAAATCCCGCTAGAAAGAAGACCGAATCCAAGAAGTAGACGAACCAACGTAGTCGAACAGATCCTCACAATCGCAACATAACCGGAACTATCAAGGAGAAGCGCAACCGAAAAGAAGCAAACATCATGGTAAACAACCATCACATAAACATGGCATGATGCAGAATCAAGTATGATGCATGTCCGTTTTAAATAGGCATGGCATGGCAAGGTGCACAAACAATACTACAAATTAAGTGGAGTTTAATATGCAACGAGATGCATATTGACAAAACACCACATTCAATTATTTAGTTTGATCTCGTCTAAGCACCCAACAAGTTTAAATGTTCTTAACATGGCAAGAGGTGAAGCACAATTAAACTACACTATCTAAGCAATTTAAATGGGGCTGAAAACAACAAACAACAATTCTAGAAAGTCCACACATGCATTTAGCAATTTAAAGCAAACAACAATTTAAACGTTTCAAATGTTGTTATCATGATGCGGATGGCATATGTAAGTTTTAAGCAATTTTATGAAAATGTTGACATGAGCATGATATGAGGCATTTGTCGCCATGACGGAAGTAAAAGGGTGCCACGGCGGTGAAACGGAAATGGTGCCACGGTAACATCCGGTTCCGGCAACTCGATTGAGATGCTGGTGCAAAGAAACAAGTGTGGGTGCTCGAAACGTGCGAGAGTGACGAGGAGTGATCCCGGATACCGGGTTCCCACGGGTCGACGGCATGGCTTACGGCGAACATGCAAGGAACAATTCGGACACGATGCAAACATAGGGTGCATCTCATACAACACATGCATTCGGTCCACGGGCGTCGTCTCGGGGTTATACCTTCGAAGCATGCATTTTAGGCAGATTGAGTTCGTAGTGGAAGTAGTCGTTCACATGTCGTCATGGGAAGTAGTCGTTCATATGGCGACGGTAGTGAAAGTAGTGGTACACAGCGACAGTAGAGGTACTCATTAGTAGTCGTACAGGTTCGAAGAGGAACTTGGCGTTTCCATGTTCTTCGAAGAGGAACTTGACGTTTCCATGTTCTTCGGAGTCATTGTGTAGTCGTTTGTGTCGTAGTCGGACTTGACGAAATACACATCGGTTGTAGTGGTACACGGCTCGTAGATGTTAGGGTCACCGGAAGAGGTACTTGATGCATCACCGGGTCTAGTCGCACATGAGGGTCTTGACGAATCCGAAGGGGTACTTGTCAGTCCGTGAAGTCGATCTCGAGGTCTTGGCATATACATCGTGGGCAAACTTGCATCCAGCAACAACAGGTGCCGGCGTGCAGAGGCAAGGAGGAGGCCATCGACGAGAGTCTCTCGACAGAAGGACCAGCAGCAGAGGCACGGACGCGGAGCTAGCGAGGATAGCGGCGACAGCAAGCAGAGGTGGCGCGGATGGTGGTCATGGGGATGGCCGAGGGCGGAGCAGCTGATGGTGGAGGCAGGGCCATGGCGCTGCTAGGACTGTCGGACCTGCAGCTGCTGCTGCCGGAGACTGGAAGCTCCGCGGCAGCCATGATGAGCGGGACAAGCAGAGGTGTCGGGCGACTGTGGCATAGGGCGCGCGCGAAGGGGCGGCCGGAGGCGCGAACGGAGCAGAGGAAGGGAGGTCGGGCGATGCAGAGGAGGCCGACGAGGGGAAGGTGACGATGCAGGCGACTGGAGATGGTGGTGGCGTGGAAGGCCAGGCGCGGTGCCATGGGGAGGCGACGACGCGGAGGAGGGGAGGCTGCAGGGGCAGCGATGGTCGACGACGAGGGCGACGGGGAGGTCCGGTGGCGCGGCACCAAGGGCAGCGAGGAGGAGGTCGGGCGCAGGGGTCTCGCGGTGGAGGCGGCGAGGGAATCGGGTGCAAGGAGCTCCTCTCCCTGGCTCGCGTGCGTGTGTGTGAGTGGCGGCGGTGTGGGAGGGCGAGAGGGAGAGATCGAGAGGAGTGGCGGCGGCTGCAGGAGGCCCAAGTGGCCGGCTGGGCTAGGCTCTCTTCTCTCACTCTCTCTCCAAAACTCTTAAAAACAGAAAAGCAAAGAAAGAGAAAGGAGAGAAAAGTAAAGAGTGGTGGCATGGGGATCATTTTCCCAGACTCACAAAATGTGCACGATCCATGAAAAATAGGAGTAGGCATGATTAAAAGTTGAATTCAAACTCATTTGAATTTAATTCAAATGGGTTTGAACTAGGACCAGGTTTCCGAAGTTCCCAAAAATGTTGAGAATTTAGGAGCCTCGAAAAAAAAGATAAAGAATTGTTGCCAAGGTTTGGAGGTGAAACTTGAAGTGGAATAGGCATGGGAATTATTTTGCAAGTGTGTTCCGGTTAATTCCAAACTAATGGAATATTTATAATAGCTCCATATTATTAGGAGGATATGTTATAAAGAGAAATCACCATGTGAATTTCCTCAATTTAAATAGATCAAAAGATCTATGCAATTTATTTAGTTGAGCTTTAAAAATTAAATGACATGTTGGCATGATGACATGATGCAATGCAAAAATAAATAGAGCGAGCACAAATGAAACACACGGAGGTCACGAAAATATGGAAGTCTTCTGAAGCGTCGGTCTTGGGGCGTCATAGGCCGGGCCGGGCCGGGCTTGGGCCGGGCCTTAAAAAGCTCACGGCAGAAAACTAAGGCCTAGGCCCTCCCAGGCCCTACCATCGGGCCTGCTTTTTAAGCCCAAGCCTGGCCCATATGGTAAAAAGTCTTAAAAAGCCCTTAGGGCTCAGGGCCGTGGGCCAGGCCTCTTCCTTAAAATGCCAATATGCCAAGCCTAAGTCTGTCCAGGCCCTGTTGGTGGGCTCAAAACTCAGGCCCAAGCCCGGCCCACGAGCAAGCCCATCGGGCCTATGCCTTAAATTTTAGGGCCGAGCCTAGGCGGGCCGACAGGGCCGGGCCAGAGATGGCCAGGACTAACCATAACCATCCATGGCTTTTTCAAGCTAACCATAACCATCCATGGCTTTTTCAAGCTTGCCGGTGACAAGAAATCAGGCGGAGGAGGGGAATCGCGACGAAGGCAGATAGGGTTTGACCCATATCCGAGCGATGAAACCCCATATATACCAGTGTGGTGAGAGTTTTTGCACACCGCGGAAAATTATTTACATGCCGGGTGAGAGTTTTTGCGGGCCGCGATAAATTATTTACATGCCGGGCCACGGATGCGGTTTTTATTCTGGCCAAAAAAATGGGCCAAACCCATATACTCGCTGGAATTATACGGGTCCGCCCCTTTTACAGGGTCTGCTAGAGATGCTCTAAGCTTGTTGTCATGGAAAGCGCACGCAATATAGATAAATGATAAATCAACATCATACAACATTCAGGCATGGATTGTTCACGTCATATTTTTCACAATATGATGATGGAAGGTAAGCTCATGATAATCCAGTTCCAGTTAAGCTCATAACAGAAGGGGCTTCTCCTTCCTCAGGGCAAAACACAAATCTTGTTGACACTTCCCATCTAGAAATACATTCAGAAACAACCTCTCACTGAACAGTCATTGAGAGAATCTGGCGTGCAAGCCCAGGGTCCTGCTGAAGTAGCTCTCTAATGTTGTTCTCCACTTCTCCCAACTGTTTCTCAAGATATTCCTTGGAAGTCTAGCCATCATAAAAACCAATGTGAGTGAGGATCCATTTTACCCTTCAAATTTCGACACAACAGAACAAGGGTCATTCACAGGCATACCTGCATCGACGATATTGCAGTCTCACTATCATTTAGCTTTTTCTCTTGCTCATTTACCATAAGTGATCTCGGCTCCAAAATAAACCTACAAATAAAACGATGTATAAACATGATATTATAAATACAGTTACCATACAAGAGCAGAGCAGTAAGCAGGCCCCTGGCAAAGCTGATTTTCCAGATTTACTTACACTTTACCTGTAAACAATGAAAAAGCCATCAAAACCAGCAGGAAGCAATGCATATTTATATCCAATTCAAAATTGGATGATTGCAATTGCATCATTCGATGTGCAATGATGAAATTCAACCCAATGTGTGCAAAGGAAAACTAATAAACTAAATTTAGTCACCCAACTGAAATGTTCTTTACACAAACAGAAAGCCAATGTTCAACCAGTATAGCAATGGCTGCTAATCACGCAAGACAAACCTACAGCAAAAGTTTTCACATTAAACACCACCCGTATTCACTTGTCACCATTCTGGTAGGTCCACCAATTTCTTCTCCAAGTACACAAAAATTGAAAATAAACTACAAACTACAATCATTGCAAAAAAGGACAGATTTCTAGCTAGCAATAATAAGATGCAGATTCATACTCCTCTACTTAGCTGAAACACAACATTTTTTTATGCATCGCTTCATGATATTATCAGCTGAATTACAAAGACAGCTAATTCCAGAGAGTAAATGATGAAAGCATCACTGTACTTCGTATTGCAACCTGGGTGGAAACCACATGAAAATCATGTTTGAAAGTTGTGGTTGCCTACTTTTTAGCTGCCTGAAATTAGTGAGAATCTCAGTCACTTTTTTATAAGCTGGCTTCTCTTGTGCTGCCTTCATCCCTCCCACGCCGCGTCGGCTGACAGGCGGATCCAGGCAGCATCCTCACTGACAACCTCTGCACGCCACGGCGCCGCCATGGGTCCACAAGCACGAGCGCGTCCTCCTCTCCAAGATGAAGCTACGCAGGCGTCCCTTCCTGCATTCCTAGCTCTCTGTCCAAGTTTGTTGTTTGCTTGCTTGATCTTTTCTCTGGAATGCAGATGAAATATATTCCTCTGGCTCAGTCCCTTGTTTCTCCTCTGTGAGTTCAGGGCATTTTTTTTTTGTTGCCTTGTTCTTCCTCTCCTGCCTCTTTTCCCCATCCCTCAGATATGGGACAACAATGTTGTACTTCTTTGGCATGTTTTTCTTCCGTACTTGCCCGCCCAGAATTATGCCTGATGTTCGATTCTGTGGTTTGGCTGGTTCTCTTATTCCCCGGTTTGATTTTCCTTTACACCACGACCATGATTTTTTTAGTTGTACTCCCCCCTGTGAATTGTGGGGGAAAAATCATTTTTTACCAGGAAAAATGGATTCATTATATATGTGCATGAGAGTCTGCTTTTGTTTATCAATAGACAGCTAGCCACAGTGTTTTCCACTCAAAACTGCTCTCTTGTTTCAGCACTAGCATGTTGGAAGATGAGTAATGAATAAAACAATTTTACTTCTGGTGTAGGTTCTGCTGGAACCAGGGAAGATAGAAGAGTCTCATACAAGGGCAATGTTAACCTTCATGCCGGTACTAACAAAAATGCACTGCTGAATGTTGCTCTTGGGCTGCCAGTTCGTTCGCTCGTTGTTGCATGAATTTATGTAAGACTTACAGCTAATCGTCTGGTGTATAACTGTGAAATATTCTTGTCCTGCTATACAGAATATCTGGGTGCAGTATATGACATGGCATACTTGTGTCGATGGTCCTGTTATGCTTCATGGTTTGTACGAAGGTTCACTAGATCTGACCTGGTAGACTTGGTTCTATCAGGTAAGTGTAGCATCCAGTAACTACTTTGTTGAATAATTCAAGATTAAGTAAGAAAGAAGGTAAATACCTTTATCCATGGTTGGTCGAAAAGGTGAACAGATGAACCTGAACTCTTAGAAGTCCATGCTAGGTTGGTCTAAGAGAGGTGCCATGTATTGAATCAGTGATGTATGTGGTGCTACCAGGTCCCATTTTCATGCCTGTTATAGTTTTTTGGTTATGTAATCCTGTTTTGTTTGCTATTGCCATACGTGTTATAGGAGTGGTTAGCACAGCAATATAGCATTAAATGTCACAGCCATGACCTAACCCAGTAGCTGATGATTCACGCCTTCTCCACAGTTCTATTTGCTTTTATGGTAGTGGTAGCAGGTTGGAAGATTTTAGAGAGCCACCCGCCTCCTGTGGAGCACTGGAGCCTAACAATTGCAACTTTATGTTCAAACTTCTACAAAATTAGTGTATTGTACTACTTCCTGGCATGCCTTACTTTCCTAAGTTTGGGTGCGATTGTAGACTGATAATCATGCTGAACTGATAATGTTACCATGGCAGAAAAAAAAACTGATGTATCATGTATTAGTTTCGATTTCTAAGTGAACTTGGCTCAGTTGTTCCGTGTAATTTTCCCAGTTAGGATTTCTCTTTGTTTTTATACTGCTCTTATATATAACTCAAAAAGAATTTGTTGCTCTCAGTATATATGTGTTTCCTGGCTTACATATCGTCTAATTACCCGTGGTAACACCAGTGAGGATTTTGTTGGTGCCCCAGCGCTTGCACTGATTGCACCGCTGGAGTTATTCAGAGAACAATTTATTTGAAGCTGAAATTATTAGCAAACTTCCTGCGGGCGGGCGCCAAGGCACGCCTTTGGCACTAATAGGCAGAAATCTTGGGAGTAATTTCTACCCTGACAGAAAAGAAAGAGAATAGCAAAGTACGCAGGAAAACAAATAAAAAGATCAAGATTGAAATTATGCACATACTCCCTCCGTTCCTAAATATAAGTCTTTTAGAGATTTCAATGTGGACTACATACGGAGCAAAATGAGTGAATCTACACTCTAAAATATGTCTATATACATCAGTATGTAGTCCATATTGAAATCTCTAAAAAGACTTATATTTAGGAACGGAGGGAGTAGATTACAGGTAGCTTGCACTACTCCGTAACGTACAAGAACAAATTGCAACTATTCTATGATAATCTTCAAAGGATGAATTATAAAGTGTCTACAGAGCAAATTAAAATGTGTGCAAGGCTGGGTGCAGCTTGGAGATCTGCCTATGGATGCCAACTACCTTTTCTTTTAGCGAATGCTGGCTGATTAGCTTATGTTTAGTGCTGGTGGCTAATTAGCTATGGATTTGATCCAGCAAGCGTAATCTATTTAGGCGACACCCAAATGGGCCATACAACCATTGTTAATGGGCTTCAGAGGCTGGAAACAATGGGCACCCCGCCAATCGCAGGCATAACAGGGTTAAAGGGCAAAAAATAGACTGAGAAAAAAAATCAGCCCCTGAAATTAGCATAAAGTGTAAAAGGTATCCAAAAAAATCAAAAAACAAAGTATGTTGGGGAGGTGAATTTCTATAAGCATGTAACATCTCAAGCTCAAAATCAAATTCATTTGGGAGGTATTAATAGAAACAAATTCAGAAAATAGTGGTGAATAGTAAAACACCACTAGATGAACTTATTTTTTACATACCACCAGAATGGATATGAGTTTGAACTAGAAATTTCACATGAGCATCTCCTCCTAACAAGCTGTTTTCTCTTTACAATTTCAGAACTTCCAAATGTGGTTTCCATGGAATTTTTCATCATAACTTGGTTACCACAGGATATTTTCTCCACTGCATCTAAGGGCAGTTACCACAGGATATTTTCTCCACTACATCTAAGTAAGTACAGTTTTGGACACATTTGGCAAAGGCATTGGTGTTGAAGGTGTTCAACAAATTTCGAGCGAAAAAGAAATGACAAATAGCTTCGATGCATCCATTAGAAGAAAAGTAATTCTTACCAATGGCCTTGTAAGTGTTCGTATCATCAGGTAATTGGCTAAGTTCCTCCAGTGTAAGATACGCACGCTTCTTTTCACTCTCTTTAGAACGCATCTGAGTTTGTAGCTGATGAAAGAAGAAAACTGTTGTAATAAATGTTATCGGTCGGGGAATCTTGGGCACAAGTATATATGCTAGAGATACTGAAGGAATTTCTGACAGAAACACCCATTGCAAGGATAGCCACCACCGAGCAAGAAACCCAACAAGATAACATAAATGATCTATTTCAGCAATCTAAATAACCATCAACTCAATAAAATCCCAATAAGATAACAAGATTCATATTATCATTATTTATGGCATGCCCATATATTGCACAAAGACTAAAACAATGTGATAACATTGCGTGTGCATAATGGCTCAAATATATTTCGGCAATCCAAAATCTATCAACTTCTTATTCCACCGATGTTTCAAACTAAGGGCCTGTTTGGGACTGCTCCGCTTCATTAAAATCAGTTTCAATCCATCAAATTCACTTTGGAGCAGTTTCATACAGAAGCTGTAGCACCAGCAAAGAGAATGTTTGGCTTCCATCTAGCTCCAGCTTCAAGAATGGGAAATTTGGTGGAAAGGATCTATTTGATTGGACGAGGGGGGAGAAACGAAGGGGTATCCACTTACTGGTGGCAGTGGTGGGTAATTTCCCCCCAACTCCAGCTTCTAGAGTTTTTTGGAGCACCCACTAAAGAGCTTCGTAGAAAATTGGGAGTTGTACCCCAGATTCTAGTTTTTTTGCGGAGCGGCATATCATGGAGCTACCCCGTTTGACTTGTGTTTTTTGGAGCGGAGCTGAATTTAAGGAGCAGAGCAGTCCCAAACAGGCTCTAAGGTAAAAGTTAGAACATACTGTAAAATATGTAAGTTAGGACAGTTGGAAGGTACTCCCTCCATCCCATAATGTAAGACGTAGTGTTAAAAAACGTCTTACATTAGTGTCAAAAAACGTCTTACATTATGGGATGAGGGAGTACTTATCATTCATCGCTTGAATAAAGATTATGCTCATTAAGGTTGGCATTTACTTTCTTTATGTACACAAGAATTATTTCTACAAGCAATGTACAATATAGCTCAGCCTTTAAAAATGGAGAAGATAATCAATACAGCTTTGAGTGATACACTGGCACCAATTAATTCTGCAGTAATATACCCCGAAAAGCCAAAAAATACTGGCTCTAGACTAGAAACAGAAGAATACCACACCAATTATTATATCATTCAGGAAAAAACAGATCATCTCACAATCCATGGCCCATGTACAATTTTGGTCCTCCTCTGTTCTAGCCAGGGTACTGGATGTCACATAACAGAGTACAACAAGAAATGCACCAGTGCTCAGTAATCACAGCAAAGAAAGCAATGTGAAAACTAGATGACAAGAAATAGATCACCGTAAATTATCCTTAGCTAAACAAAACAGCAAAAAAGCTTTTTAATAAATTAAAGATGTGGTCCAGCGGAATCCAGAGTAAGGAAATATTTGTGTTCCCTCACAAGAACTCAAAATGTTTCCATTCCTTTCTCTGAAATGATCATTTCCTCAGCTATACTTGAAATGAAGTAACTCAACATATAATGCCAACTAATTATAATGAAGGTAGGATCTGATGCAGATTATGATTATACATCGGTGGAACTACATATATGTATGGAAAACTAAATAATCAAACGTTTTCCCTATCTTTCTGTTTTTTATCAAAACATTCAACTGATCAATCAATTTCTGATGTAAAGGGAGTGTTAGGCACCCAATTTTGCAAGAATCAATACATCAGAAACACAATTGCTTTTAGTAGTTTAAATACAAAGAACATCAGGTAGAATCATGAACATCTGCTGCTGCTGGCTAATGCAGCGAAATACGGCCTATGGAATTAAGTGTCATTTAGCGAACTTAAAGCCAGCTCAATAAAATCAAATCAATTACAGACATTTGCTGGGGGGGCTATCTAATGCAGTATGAAAGCTTATCGTAGTGAGTGTCAATGAGCAAACTGAAGAGTCGGCTCAATGATACAAACATTGTTGGGGAGAATCACAATCTAGAAACGGGCAGCAATGCTGTTCGAATAACCACCAAAAGCATACCGCTCGGGTACAAGATTCCAGCGCACGAATCAAGGAAAGGGGTTTCTAGCAAACGGAACATAGTAAGACCGAACATCTCCC